CAGCCTGACACTCACCAATATTGCCATGTACATATTCTCTAACCTAACATAACATAACCAAACCAAACCACACCTGACCTATAACCTATTGGTATAATTTCCTATTTAAATGTTCTTCGTGTTCTAACTAAATTAACTAGGCACCCACGTTTAAACATTTATTTGGTTAAGACTGAAAAAGCAGTTATATAGGCCCCTAGCTTAATCAAGCTAATTGCAATCCATGGTTTACGCCTAATATCATTTAATTTTGGCTCGCCTATGGAAATTTAGAGCCTTTCATGTTATCATAAGCCATATACATAAGAAAATAGGCAGAGGCTATTGGTTGAATATTAGAAAAACAAGGCGAAGTCTAAGCATGAATGTTCACCCTCATATTTGGCTTTCATTACTGAGGGATATTTACGGCTATACAACATTAATAAGGTCTATCTGTAAGTTTACTCAGTCGCAAAAAATATTTTTACCCTAAGTGTGAACAATACAAACCTTCTGTTTTGGGTAAAAAATACTTTATAATTTGTAAGAAGACAAAAGATGCGTCTCTTCCAAACTGCGACAAATAGGAACAATCAAGCCTCTTATTATCGTGAAAAGAAAATGTACGAAAAAGACAAAGTGAAATATTATATTTCAGCATGTTGATGTACAAAACATTTTCTTCATTATTCTATGATAAAACAAGTCTAACAAGCATTATTACAACATATATTATTATTATTTTTTATACAATCGGGAATTAGCGACTACCACATCCGGGTTGAGAGCGTTAAGCACCTCAGGTGGTGTAAGTTATGCTCTAGATTATGAGCTCACTTACGTAGTTCGATGTCAAATATTTGTTTTGAGTATACCATCTGTGTTTTGGGTATACCGATCTGAGACTGTAAGTCCAGTTACGGGGTAAACAAAGACATACAGTCCCTTAAATGTTTTTGAGTATCCGGCAGGTCCCTCAGTTCCCAGAGCTGACCCGCCTCAGCTATCCTCCATCCCATGATGGCCATCATGCAGATGAAAAATAAAAAAGTCACAAGGTCTGATAGAATCCCAGCCGAAGTGTATAAAGCAGGAAGACCTCTGCTAACCAGCCGTTTCCACTCTCTCCTGGAGAATATATGGGAGAAGAAGGAAATCCCCTAAGATCTCAAAGACACCTCCATCGTCAATATTTATAAGAACAAGGGAGACCGGTCAAACCGTGACAACTACAGTGGGATCTTGCTGCTGCTGTCCGTAGCTGGTAAGATTATCCCCTGAGTCCAACTAAACTACTTCCTGAGGCGGAAAACTTCCTCCCAGAATCTCAGTGTGGCTTTAGACCTTCAGTGGCACCACTGACAGGATCTTTGCTGCCTACCAGATACAAGAAAGGTGTAGAAAATAGCGTCATGACTTTGTACATGGCCTTCATCGACATTTACAAAGGCCTTCGACTCGGTCAACAGAGAAGCCCTCTGGATCATCATCGGTTTGGTTACCCACCAAAATTCATTGATGGCATGAACAGCAGTGTCCTGCACAATGGCACCCAGTCTGAGTTCTTCCTCACCCAAACGGGGGTAAAACAAGGATGTTTACTGGGTCCAACTCTTTTTTCCATTATTTTGCCGCCTTCCATACTCGTGCCAGTGCCAATTTAGCCGGCGGGTGTGGACATCCAGTACCGGATGAAGGGACTTTTCAACATATGACGACTCCTGGCAGGAACAAAGGTGTCGGCAGCTTCCATCACTGAACTTCAATATGCAGACGACCTCACCCACGTCACTCACACTACACGGGACCTACAGGAGATACTGATCACTTACGCAGATACGTATGCACACTTCGACCTTGAAGTGAATGTACGTAAGACTAGGATTCTCTTTCAGCCTGCCCTGGTTCAGCCACACCTCCACCATCCATCCAGGTTCACGGCACTACCCTCTCTAATGTTACCCACTTTCAGTATCTTGGCTCCCACCTGTCAACCACCGCAGACATAGATGAAGATATTCAACATCGGATCAGATTTGCATCTCGAGCCTTTGGCAGACTCCGTACACGTGTCTTCAGCTGTAGGGAGCTAAAACTATCTACAAAGTTGCACGTATATCGATCAGTGGTCCTTCCCACCCTGCTATATGGCAGCGAGACATGGGTCACATACAGGAGGCACCTCAAGGCACTTGAAAACTTTTACCAACGTAGTATACGTTCCATCCTCCGAGTTCGCAGGGAAGACAAGAGAACAAATACCAGCATTCTCACTGACACCAACTGTAGGAGCATCGAGGCTACCATTATCCATGAAGTGGCCATGTTACCCGCATGGACGACAGTAGACTGCCAAAGCAGCTACTTTACAGTCACCTAACGAATAGTAAACGTAACGCTGTCGGGCAACTGAAAAAGTATAAGGATAGTCTTAAGACAAACCTGAACAAGTGCCAAATCAACCCCTCAACTGGGAGACGATTATGCCACACCACAACGCTTGGAGGAGCACCACACAAGAAGGTGTCAATACTTTCGAGTTAGCCCGACTGCATACCGAGGCAGACAAGCGCCAACGCCGCAAAAACACTGCCGCCACCCTTCCCTCATGAGATGTAGCCCTCCACATGTGCAACATCTGTGAACGACCCTGCCGGTCCCGTATCGGCCTCTTTAGTCACCTCAGAATTCAGCAACGTAGGTCATATCCTTATAACTCATATCATTGTATCATAGGTGGATGATCGTTATACTCCTTTCCAAGTGACAGTAAAGTAGTAGTAGTAGTGTGTGTGTTGTTACTTCTTTTCAGTTAAAATAAGTAAACTTAACCACCCTTCCAATATTCTTCTGCCAAAATAGTTTCTGCGTACTGTGTATAACGACAAAATAATTATCTTATTGTCAGTGATTAAGTCTTCTTTCACACCCACACCATCCATTGTACTGGAATTTCATCTGTCGTCTTTGGAGTTTGTAAAGATTAGATCTGTTAATTAGTCGATAATCACTTACAGGTGCAACGCCTCGGTCGGCCAGCTGTTAGTGAGATGAGTCAAAGAGCTGTCTGCCCTAGAGTGAATGATACCATAAACAACAACATCAAAGTACAACACTCCAGCGCCACCATAACAATTATACAGGAACAATTAGAGTAAGGCGCACAAGGAAGTGGATGAATTCACTTTTATCTTTCTGGTACTGAGTGAAAACACGTGAACCATGTCAGTACAGCCCGTTACCTGCATAAACTGTCTGTGTTCATTCCTGACACTCGACTAAAAAAAGATTTGAGTAATCAATTTAGTGGTAGTCATGCATAGACCCTCGGTGCCTCTGAAGGTGGTGGGTGTGTCTGAGGGTGGTGGGTATGTATGAGGGTGGTGGGTGTGTCTGAGGATGGTGGGTGTGTCTGAGGGTGGTGATTGTGTCTGAGGGTGGTGGGTGCGTCTGAGGGTGGTGCGTGTGTCTGAAGGTGGTGGGCGTGTCTGAGGGTGGTGAGTGTGTCTGAGGGTGGTGGGTGTGTCTGGGGTGGTGGGTGTGTCTGAGGGGTGGTGTGTGTCTGGGGTGGTGGGCGTCTGGGGGTGGTGGTGTGTCTGGGGTGGTGGGTGTGTCTGGGGTGGTGGGTGCGTCTGAGGGTGGTGCGTGTGTGTCTGAAGGTGGTGGGTGTGTCTGAGGGGTGGTGGGTGTGTATGAGAGTGGTGGGGTGTGGGGTGGTGAATGTCTCTGAGGGTGGTGGGTGTGTCTGAAGGTGGTGGGTGTGTCTGGGGTGGTGAATGTCTCTGAGGGTGGTGCGTGTGTCTGGGGTGGTGGATGTGTCTGAGGGTGGTGGGTGTGTCTGAGAGTGGTGAATGTCTCTGAGGGTGGTGCGTGTGTCCGAGGGTGGTGGATGTGTCTGAGGGTGGTGGGCGTGTCTGGGGTGGTGGGTGTGTCTGAGGTGGTGGGTGTGTCTAAGGGTGGTGGGTGTGTCTAAGGGTGGTGGATGTGTCTGGGGGTGGTGGGTGTGTCTGTGAATGTCTCTGAGGGTGGTGCGTGTGTCCGGGTGGTGGGTGTGTATGGGGGTGGTGGGTGTGTCTGAGGGTGGTGGGTGTGTATGAGGGTGTTGGGTGTGTCTGAGGGTGGTGGGTGTGTGGGTGGGTGTGTCTGGGGGTGGTGGGTGTGTCTGGGGTGGTGGGTGTGTGTCTGAGGGTAGGGGTGTGTCTGAGGGTGGTGGGTGTGTCTGGGGGTGGTGGGTGTGTCTGAGGGGTGGGTGTGTCTGGGGGTGGTGGGTGTGTCTGGGGTGGTGGGGTGTGTCTGGGGTGGTGGGTGTGTCTGAGGATGGTGGGTTTGTCTGAGGGTGGTGGGTGTATCTGAGGGTGGTGGATGTATTTGAGGGTGGTGGGTGCCTCTGAGGGTGGTGGGTGTGTCTTAGGAGGGCTATTTTGTGTCTGAGGGTGATGGGTGTATCTGAGGGTGGTGGGTGTGTCTGAGGGTGGTGGGTGTGTCTGGGGTGGTGGGTGTGTCTGAGGGTGGTGGGTGTGTCTGAGGGTTGGTGGGTGACTCTGAGGGTGGTGGGTGTGCCTTAGGAGGGCTATGATGTGTCTGAGGGTAGTGGGTGTGTCTGAGGGTGATGGGTGTGTCTGAGGGAATGGGTGCCTCTGAGGGTGGTGGGTGTGTCTGAAGGTGGTGTCTGAGGGTGGCAAAAAACTTTGAGGGTGACTAGAACTTCTGAGGAAGACAGGAGCATCTGAGGGTTGCAGAAACTTTGAGGCCAGTAGTAACTTCTGAGGGCGGGTGGGAACCTCTAAGGGTGACTGGAAGTTTTGAGGGTATCATGAACTTTTGAAAGTGGCAGGACCTAGTGAAAATGGCAGAAAATTTGAGGGTATCAGGAACCTCTAAAGGTAGCGGGGCACACACAGGGGTTCATTATCGTGGTGTGTCTACGGGCAGCTTCTAGGAGTAGGGGTAAATGGTTTTTAAGGCAAGTATTTTTCTCTGAGGAAGTTTAATGCCTGTTAAGTGCTGTAGATACTTACGATAAATTTGTCTTGGGTGCTCCTCCGGCGCTGAAGAGGTATGCCATGCCCTGAATTTGCCACTTCTAACTTATACTCATAACTTTGAAGCTTCAGGTCAAGGGTTCTTGTCTGAAGGTCCAGGTTAAGGTCTTTGTTTACTTAGGTTTGGTATTTTAGCGATCAGAGCCGTTTAGGGCATGAGGCCCAAAAGATGAAGAGGTCCACGACCTGTTATGATTTAGAATGGTTAAAGAACTCTGTGTTTCTGACACTAACACATCCCATAAGTGATCTTATTAATCATGGGTCACACACACTTCACTGAACACATCCCGCGAACGAGATCACTGATCTTGAAGCACAATCACTTCACTAAGTGGGAACACCGTATCAACACGTGACAGGAGGGAAACACAGCCCACGAGGAACACACGAGGACTAGTACACCTGGTGAGTGAGTGCCTCCCCACACCGTCGGGGAGGAATGGTGCGGACGATGGCAGCGGGGTGGACCTGGCTACCAAACTGGGTTGCTACGGCCCAGCTGGCCTCCCTGCGTGCTGTGGACAGCTGTAAATAGCAGAGGATAACCACGACGAGGTACACCTTCAAAGAAAAAGTACAGATTCTTGGTGATAAAACAAAAGAGAAAATCAGCCCTATTCTGGAAAGCCACATATGATAAACTATATGGAGGCTGCCTGTTCCATACCTTTACATTTTTCATAGGGCCTTCGTCCTCACGTTAACTCTCGTAATAGGCTATTATTTCCATTTTCTTCACTGGCAGTGCAACAGAAATAGTTTTTCTTGCTTTGAAAAAGAGTATACAGAAACATAAGACTGTTAAAAAAAATAGCGATACATGATTGTGATATGTTCTTATCTTTCAGGACACCAATAACTCTTGATAATTCTGGACCTCATTGCATGAAAGACTAATTTTTAAGAAAACGTAATATTCAAGAAAGAGAGAATCAGAATTTTTCATCAAAGTTATTCAGGCTGAACAGATGAACACTTGATAGTTAAAGCAACGACGGTATTTAGGTAAAGTTATGAATGTTTCGGTTCCCCTCCATTTACCCATTACCTTAATAATAATATAATAATTACTGTTGCTAGACATTCGCCACGGGGGTGCACAGTGCAACCGTTGTTAATAAGACAGTGGCACTTACAACATTAAAGTTTGCGACTGTATTGAGCCGCCGATGTGATAAACTCGAAAACACCGAAATTAAAATTGGCTCTTCAATTTGAGAAATATGTCACGTTCAATAGTCAAATCTTAACAGATGCAATTTATCTTTAAAGAATAAAAGTAGGTCATTCACTGGTACTCTCGCGAAAAGTGAAATGACATCAAAACTTATTAACTCACATGGTTCACTGCGTTTCTTGAGTTTATCAATTAAATCAATGCTGTTACGTATATGCGAATTAGATATCTGGCCTGTAAGAAGGGATAGCATCCTAACCAACCACTTGGATAATTTGTAAGTAACAGAGCCCACAGAACTCATGATAGGCTGTAATGGATCATTAGGCGTATGTTTTTTGATCAATCCATACATATAAGGTAAAGTGGGATTGATTTGAGAGAACTGTTTAATGAGATCTGGGTTCATTTTCAATAACTCCTTCATTTTAGAATTAAATAGCTTATTAACATTTTCCAGGGGATCTTTCCTAAGCTCACAATAAGTGCTTTCATCACTTATTAAGGAATTAATTTTATCATTATAATCGTTTTTATCCAAAATTAAAATAGCATGGATTTATCAGCCTTAGTATGACTCAACTATTACTAGTATGTTAATTAAGAACAGCCTAATCTTGAATATAAATGGAAGTGTTTACTATATTCCATGTAGCAATTGTAATGGAAATTATGTATAGGTCAGACTGGGAAAGCATTACAACTTAGAATAAAACAACACAAGTATAATATTAGAACAGCATCTGAAAGCAATGCACTTTTCGTTCATATAAGGAACAATAATTATCCCATAGATTGGGAAAACAGTTTAGAAGTGTATAAATCATCATGTGTCACAGAAAGACTTCTGGTTGAAGCAAGTTTGATTAGGGAAATTAATTCTATAAACTTTACTGGTGGTCAGTACGAAACTTATAATATGTTACATAAATTTATTTGTCAGTGGCTCAAGGTTAAAAATGCTTTGTATGCATTTGAGGTGGAAGTAGGATAGATGATTAGTGGGTCTCAAGTTTTTGACCTGACTTGACCTTACTTGTTACGTCACTCATTTTTTATAAGATCTTTCGTGTGCGGTGGAGGTGGTGTGTGGATTAGTTTGTTTATAAGCCTCTCCCGGTCCTTGTAAACCCAGTTGCCTCTGAAGATGTCTTGAATAAAGACGAAAGCTAAGGTGCTCCAGTGTTTACCTTTTCCTGTGTGCATATTGGTAATTTTGCAAAATAACTTCCAAACAGACAACCTAACCTTATGGTTGAATAAGGTTAGGTTAGGTTAGGATGGCTCGTGTAGCTTGATACACAGTTAAGTGGTCCTGTCCTTTTTTTTTTACTTTGGACTATGTGCTGTCCTAGCCATAAGGTTAGATTGGTTCATGTTGTCTGTTTGTAAGTTATTTTGCAAAATTACCAATAAGCATGCCGGTCAATTTGCAAAATAACCTATTCCGCAAACACACACACACACACACACACACATATATATATATATATATATATATATATATATATATATATATATATATATATATATATATATATATATATATATATATATATATATATATATATATATGCAAGTAAATCACTGTAGGTGCGCGTGATCTAGGTATGTGCTGATAACCACAAGGAAAGAAGAAAACACGAAGTTCCCAAGCGCTTTCGTGTAATTCACATCTTCAGGGGTGAGTACATACTGTACTCACCCCTGAAGATGTGAATTACACGAAAGCGCTTGGGAACTTCGTGTTTTCTTCTTTCCTTGTGGTTATCAGCATATATATATATATATATATTGATAAAATCACACAGGAAAAGAGGAAACAACGGAGCACCTTAGCTTTCGTCTTTATTCAAGACATCTTCAGTTGCCTCTGAAGATATCTTGAATAAAAACGAAAGCTTAGGTGCTCCATTGTTTCCATTTTTCCTGTGTGATTTCATCAAGATTTATCTTATCCACGTTTTCATTGTGGATCTACATGACACACACACACACACACATATATATATATATATATATATATATATATATATATATATATATATATATATATATATATATATATATATATATATATATATATATATGAGGATCATTCAATAAACAACGAGACAAATGAATGTAACTGCAGAAGTAATGATGACATAGTTATTTTTCCACATAATCTCTCTTTACAGCTATGCACTTGTCCCATCTATCTTCGAGTTTTCTCATTCCTGTGGCAAAAACTCTTTCGAAAAATTATTTCCTCGTACTGCTGTTATGAGTGGACCAAACATGTGGTAGTCTGATGGTGCGAGATCTGGACTGTATGCGTGGTGAATCGGTTTCCAAAATTGTCCGCTCAATGTTCTAGTGCAATGTGGGTGTTGAAACTTTGACAGGTAGTCTGGCACGAACTTCGTCCACAATGCTAGTTCGACCATTCTTGAATTGTTCAATCCACTTGTAAATGTTCGCTCCATTGATGCAATAGGTTCCGTATTGAAGGAAGCGACATTCTGCGATGAATTTTCCTTGGTTTTATTCCTTCCGAATTTAAAAACCGAATAACAAATCGTTTTTCTTCCAAAGTACAAAATTCAAGTGGAGCGCTCATCACTAATGCACCACTTACTCGAGACTAATCGAATGAACTAACTTAACAAACAGATGAAGATGTAGCTTACACGTGTCTAAACATTTTACATGATCGCTGCGATTCCACCTCCCCTTTACCGTCTATATCAAAGTCTCGTTACTTATTGAATGACTCTGTGCAGGGAAGGCGCGACTGGAGTCCCCCCCCCAATGATTGGTCTCGAGTTGGTCAAATTGCCAGAAATTGGTCACAATGATCTCAAAATTTCAGGGAGATGGTCAAGAAAGGAGACACACACACACGACCTCATCTGCAAATTTGGTGAAAAGCTTTTGCACCATTCTCTCAACATCGGCTCCTACTTCCACCCGAGATTCCTCGTCCGCAAATTGGGGTTCGACACCACAACCTCATCCAGACCATACGAGCACGTATTGATCGTTATAAGAACAGCCCAGTCCCAACCATTGTAAAAATTATTAACTCGTAATCAACCAGTGTATTCACTTCCAGCCAATCTTACCTTTTTCCCTGTAGAATAACCTTCCCCCCACTTAGTTATTATATATCACATTTGTATTACTTATGTTAATTGTATATTATTTGTCATTCAAGTGACCCATTCCCCAATTATGTAACTGAATATTTTCAACCTTCCGGCTGGCATGCTTTTTCAATAAACCGTTAATTATTATAATTATTATCTTTATTATTATTATTACACACACACACACACACACACACACTGGTAGCAAGAGGTAACACAGTGGATCGTGTTTTGAACGGTTATGGTGATGCCAGACGTAAAATAAGGAAAGAAAGAAAGAAATATGAACGTGAATTAGTGAACTATGAAAAGTTGTTTCAGAAAGTAAAATTGACAAACACACCATTAGGTCTCAAACCTGTGATAGTGCAGCAACAATGTCTGGAAAGTACAATGGTGCTCCAAAGAAATTATCTGATATGTTTCAGAGACCAATCACTTACCTTCCCTGTCTACCTGTTGGTTCTAATTTAGTGATTGAACATGGCTGCAATGCAAGTGAACTAATTACACATATGTATGATGTACTGGAATATTGCTAAGTATTTTTTAGCAGTAGCACCAGTCGTCATGCAGCGTTTAAGGAAAAGTTAGCACAAATTGAAGGTGCATTGTAATTAAAAAATCTGTCAAAAACAAGATGGAGTACCAGGCCAGACTTTTGATTTTATTGTTGCTTTGATGTTCAAGAAAAATATTATGTACAAAACTAAACATATGGTAGATGTATTGCAAACTGAGGATTTAGATGTTTCTAGAGCTCTTATCTCTAAGAAAAGTAAATTGAAAATACTTCTGTCAATACGTAGTGATGATGAGGCTCAGAAACATTTGCTGGAGGCTACACTCAACTCTGCAAAAAATATTAATGTTGATGGAGAAGAAGAGTTCAAGAGAGTTCACCGTAAAAGGAAACAACCAAAAAATTTTATGATAATTCAAACTCTAGTGCTTAGTATAATTTGTATTCCTATTACTGTAAGGAAATGAATGCCCTTTTAGATATGACGATTTCTGTGTTGACTTCAAAATGTGAAAATCTGATTTCTCCAAAGATTTTGCGGATGTTCTTGATCCTAATGTTGCAGACCATGACCCAAAAAGCTTTATTGAAGCCATGAAAAATCTGTCAGAAACCTACCCATCT